AAGAAGTAGACAATTCACAATTAGCAAACACAAACAGAAGTACGAGTGGCTTCAAGTTGGTTGGGACGCGGTGGCAACGGGCTTAGCCGGAAGCAAATGGTGGGGTAGGGACTTCTGGGATGCGAAGCGACTAGCTTGGCAGTCCCTGAGCGTCAGCCTCCGCTCCGGAATACTCTTCTCGACTCCCGGCCCAACAGAGACCGGCGAAGGCGCGTGTATGTTCTGGAGATAACGGGTGTTGTCCTCCTACGCGTACCATATTTCGATCGCTCGAATTCCGGGGAACGGAATCTGTTTCGATTCGATCAGTTTCGATTTTTCTTTCGATTCACGTATCCAGATGCGTGTAAATAAGAATTTCGCTCTCCTTTCGTGCTCTTCTCTAGGAAGAGCAGGACGTATCGTATCGATTCCTCGACTCTTTAAATTTTTCTTTTTCGTTTCCATATGTGATCGATCGATCACGCGCGCGTTTAAAGATCAGGTGGGTGCAAAGATTCGAGATTTCGTTGGCAACGATTCGATACGATTCTCGTAAAATGTGAAAATTGATCGTGGGTGAAATCATGTCTTCTCCCCATCATGTATCTCGATGACATCTCTTCCGACCGATCAATCGTACGATTTTCTCTGATCCCGTCTGGTCTGGTACACCCGGTATATACGCGCATCGAGCTCTCACCGTTGCGTTGGAACACTTGAAGCCCCAACCAGTTACGGCAACAATAGGCTTTGTCTTCGCGCCGTCGGCGCTCGCAAATTGGTAGAAATCTTGATTAAAGGTGCAATTCCGCTGCTGCCTACGGACAAATATGAATTGCACCCCCAATGCTCCCACTCCTCGCCTCCCTCCTCCTCCTCCTCCTCCTGCTCTTCCCTCCCCCTCCCTCCGCTCCTTTTTTTTACCGTTCCGACAAATGAAAATGGAAAAAACGTGTTGTGCGCTATCTGTATGCTTCTTATGGAGCGACAAGTCCGCGGCTTTCCAAGGATCAAGATGATGGACCTATCCCCTTTGAAATCAGACACTGTCTCTCGTCTCGTCGTTAAAGATATCGTCGATACGGTTAAGAGGGAATGTTGATCGTTTTCTCTCTGTACTCTCTCCCTCTCTCTCTCTATTTATCCGTATCGTTCCCTTCCCTCCGCTTCCTTGTTACCTCGTTTCGCTCGTATTAAGAAAGATGTGTT